CTTCCCCGCCCTCTTTCTCTCTCTCTCTCTCTCTCTCTCTCTCTCTCTCTCACGCACACACACACTTATGTGCGCGCGCGCGCGCGGACAAGAACAAAAAACGACGGCGACAACGAATAAGATCAAGAGGAAGGAGACAAAAAAATGTCTCGTTCTTCGTGTTTGCCACATTCCTGCCCCCCCCTCCAGCACCGATAATGACGACATGGACGACGACGAAAAGAAAAACGAAGGGGGGCGAAGGAAAAGGTGGCACACAGCAAAAACTCACCTGACACTATGCACGAAAGCTCCCTCTCTCCCTCAGGCTACCACCAACATAACCGCCACATGGCGCGCTGCTGTGGACCGCCTCTCTCTGTCTCTCTCTCTCTTGTGTGATTGTCTAACAAAGTGATCGCGAAGGAGAAAAGAAAATAACGAGCAAGCGAAATAGTGGCCCCAACATTTTGCCACGCGGGCGCAACATCTTGCCACGCTCTCTCTCTCTCTCTCTCTCTCTCTCTCTCTCTCTCTCTCTCTCTCTCTCTCTCTCTCTCTCTCTCTCTCTCGCTCGCTCGCTCGCTCGCTCGCATGCGCGCGCGCCCGATCGAGATCTAATCAATGAAGGGCGAGGAGCAGGCAGGGAATAAGGCGTACAAGGTGAGCAGCAAGCTCCAAGCTGGAAGAGGACGGACCGGAGGAGGAGAAGCATGAACAAAGTGGTCGGAGAAGGAGGAGAAGGCAACGAAAAGAGAGAGAATAGAGAAGGAAGAAGAGGAGGTGAGGATGAAAAACCCATTCAAGGTCGGCAGCAAGGAGGAAGAGCAAGTAACGAACGGAGGAGAAGGATAGAAGGCAGACAACAAAGCCGGAAGAGGAGGAGGTGGGGGGCTAAGAAGGCAAAGAGTAGAAGAGAACGAAAGAGAAAAGGTCCAAGAGGATGATGCAAAGCAAAGACTCACTGACGCTCAAATTGAGACAAACAGTAAGGTGATAACGTTTTGCCTCGTCTTGTTTGCATCCTGTACGTTCGATAACTTCACGTCAGTACGGCTTCCTCATACCATGGGGGACTTGTATGCAAATCCTCGATCGCGACAAGACAACTGGATACAGTGCTCCATAAAAAATAAAAAAAATAAAAAAAAGGCGCCTTTCAAGGACTGTGTGTGCGTTGTTGGGAAAGAAGCGGAGTTTTTTTCAATTTTTTGAAATCGGAAAAGAAGCGAGCGTGTCGTCTGCTTCAGTCCTAAGTTCGTCTTGACATCAGTCTATCGGTGATAACAAAGGCGATGGCAGAATCTCCTCGTGAAGGCATATAGTCTATGGACGATCTTCTCCATCCACCATCGCTGATAGTAGGGCGCTCAGAAATCTCGAATTACACTCACCGATCAGACCGTTTACTGCTGCCCTGTTGTGAATCTGTATGCATACAAAGGCACAAATAGCAACCTGCCCAACCACACACACGAACGTACACGCACGTGCAGCGCACAGAGAGAGAAAGAGCTGTCTCTTATACACATCTAGATGTGTATAAGAGACAGGACATACATGAGTGGTGCGTTGTTGTCATCGTAC